ATATAAATGGACAATGTGGAAAATATTTAAGGGAAAGAAAGTCTTCTTAAATAAAATGACCATTTTGTTGTGACTTCATGGTTATAAAATTATTTACGTAATACCAAAAACACAGCTTAAGAGAATATTTCAATAATTTTTTATATCTGAAATTCTGTTTGCAGCAGGATTCAATATTCAATCATTTTAAATGAATAATCTAAGAAACAAATATCACGAAAATCATTTAATGAAGTAGAGAACTCACAGAATTGCCTTACGGCAAGTTCAATAATAGAATGGTAAATTCTAATGGAGGCTTGACTTACACTCCACATTTGCAAGAATGAACGACATTTGTAAAAACAAAAGCAGACATCAAGAGAAAAATTGAAACCACATCATTAGGAAATATATTAATAATTATTATTGAGAATGAAGCCTGTCTGCTTACTAATACTGGAGAAGGAGGCATACGAATACAATATATTACTAATAGACAGTGCTTCCTTCAATTACCGTACTACATGCAGAGTTCTGATTCTGGAAATCTTTGAATCTTGTACGAAAAAAGTTATTTTCTTTTCACCCAATCTTAACCAAGACATCTAGACTAGGAAATAACATGGAATTATGTTACAGAAGAGCTTCTAAACAATAAAAGAAAAATTACTGCGTATTTTACAGAAGGTGGAATTTGCAAAAATATCCCTCCAAACTTTGAATTGGGATTTAATGAATAAGAGCAATTTGCTGGAAGCAATCTATGAAACTTCCCTTGAAGAAATAGAAAGAACTAAAAGAAAAGATTCAAGACAATGCCCTAACAGTTTTGCTTTTTTATGATAGTATGTGGTATGTGTTTGTTTTGGCTACCTTGTTCATCATATTTTTTTGCAAAAAGAACATTGCACAGTATATTCATGATAACATAATGTAATAATTTGTATCACAAAGTATAAGGTTCTTAAATACTCACCAGACCATTTCTAATATTGTATCCAGAGAGGTTAAGAGGCTGAATGTCATATCCTGCCATTCTCGGTCGACCTCGACGAACACGAGCAAATACTACAAAAATTTTAGAAACAAAGATTATGTTAATTTTCATAACAGATCTTACACTACCATTACAGGAGTTCTCGAGAACTAGCCTGTCAGCTTCAAGTTCAGTTTTTCAATGAAGATGTGCAATAAGCTTTAAATTAAACAAAAAAAAAGTTACATTAACTTACAATAAAAGACTAGTGATAGATGATTGAAAATTTATGTAATGATATTCAATACATAGTGAATACAATTATTCATAAACACAAATTTCTGAATTCATTCATTAGATGTTTTCTTTTTATTTCTCAACATTTATTCTGAAGAAATAAGATTTTTAAAAAGATTAGTTTTACTATTTATGGCAATGCAAAACAGAAAAGAATGACTGTTTCACCACATAAAGTGAAATGTATTTTTTGTACTAAAAAAATAGGATTGCAACGCTCATAGTTTATTCTTTGGAAGTATCTGAAATGTGCATAATTTAATATAATAAATACACTAGTACAGAGATTATTGATACAATAATATATACAGGTAAGGGTCCTGATGCACATTCATTATACGTCATGTTAACGATACAAATATTTCTTAAATGACATAGTGCATCTCTCTCACACAAGCAGAAAACATCTGAATGATGGATTATCACAGGTACATAGGTATTTAAATTAATACTTCATAACACATGTATTTTCACTCAAAAGACAAAAAATTTACGAACACATAATCTAATGGATATCAGTGACAATACATAGACATGCAAACATCAATCATATACAAATGTTAAGGCATCACACACTACACTTTGTGCAGTTCTGGAATGTTTCTTTACATTCTTTTTCACTGTCATTTCTGATATATCTTCTTGAATGCCAACAGTTCTCTTTTATTAACAGAATGATATTTTTCCTTTTTTATCATGTTTATAATTTTACGGTGGTTGTGGTTCAGTCTTTTTCCATAACACTTGAGAAGCTTCCTGTGGTTGTTGTGGTGGTTGTGAGGAATGGTAAGCAGAATGAGGAGGAAAAGCGAATGAGTACTTATACCGGGTATGTCCTGGCATGGATCTGTCACTCTTTCTGCTGACATGAGCATTTTTCATATGACGACGAAGATTACTGTTGTTGCTGTACACCCTCGCACACACTGGACATGGACGTGGCATCTCCCATCGAAGATGACCTCCTCGGCCTTCTGAGGACATCCCTGAACTGCAGCTGCTACCACCACCACCACCACCTCCACCACCATCACTGCCAAGCACTGCGCCGCCCAAGACCACGGGCGTTACTGCAACACAACACAAGAGGATGACCACTGAAATTAACTTCATGCTTCTGCCAATGGGATCTATGTGTCTAAAAGATGTATTGCATTTTCATTTTCTTAACATCCTTCAAATTATATGCAAGTTATGCCTCAGTAAAGTTCATCTGGAAGTTCTTTCAATATGTCATAACAATCAGAAATTCATCATCTCTTGTCATCTGGTTGTTCTTCACTTCATATGCCTCATATGGCACCTTTCTTTCATTCTGAGACACTACCTTAGTCTTGTTCCCAAAAGCAGAACAATTTTTGCAGAAGCAAAATAGTTTTGAAATCACGTTCTGAGTACAAATCCTCCAGAAGTGAAGTATTAAAATGTTCTCCTCAAGAATTTACATTATTCAGCAGTTACATACATGTATTCTTCTTTCTTCCTTTAGATGTCATTTTTCACATGTTAAATTAGTACATTGCATTCCTGATGCAATACAATGCTTGGAATAAAAGTTCTGCTTAAAAAGAGAACTGGTAGGGGGAATTTCACATGAAGTCAACACATATTTCAATTATCAATAATTCAATTTAATACATGAATTTTAAAGTGAATTGTTACATATCTCATTAAATTGACAGCATCATAAGGACATAACTTTTTAATTAGAACATGAGTAATAGTATTAGGTTCATTATCAACAATTCTTTTAGAATCATACTTTTTGTTAAAGACAGATTGTCCACCAAGCAAACATCAACAAAGAGAAAGAAGCAAGCATCACTTCCTATTGTTAAAAATAGCTAGTACAATGTTATTAAACTACCCATTACTGGAAACCTAATTGCATGCATTCACTGCACCAAATACACACATACTAACTGGTGAAGATATCTGCCAAATACTTCTAACTCCAGTTTTCACACATATAAGTATTTTATATTTGACCAGAATGGAGGTAAAATTTAGAGTAGCTAGAGAGAACACACTACAATATAATAATGTAGTGCTAAGGTATATAAAATGAAACAATTTGTTAATTCTAAATAGTTCCACAAATATGCATGATGATTTTCATAATTTCTTCAAGTATCAAAATAACATGTCATACATAGAGAAAATTAATGAAAACATCCCTTTCTCCGCTTAAGTACTCTGTTAATGCCTACAATACAAAATTCTAAAAGTCTGATGTAAGAAAAAATATCTCACTATACAACCCTACAATATTTATGAAAAATACTGAAACAGGAAATTAATAATAAAATCTTAACAGAAATGGGTACACTAAATATGCATCATTTTAAACATGATCCCAAATACCATAATACCTAGATGTTCTTTGAGAAGAACACTGACTAGTGTCATAATTGGAGGTAAAACCTTACAAGTTGCCGTCCCTAAAGTTTAGATACATAACATTTTAGATTCTATACTGATAGCCTATTGAATATCAAAACTTGGCTTATAGTACAATTTTGAAATACAAGCATCTGTTCAAAACAGAGCATTTATTTTATACATCTTAGCATATCATACACATATCACTATAAATATTTGAATGCCAAAGCGATAATTTGACAGATGTTATATTAAAGCCCAGAAAAAAGAAAGAAAACGTGGCATGGATTTCACGATATAGCTGCCGAATCTACTAGAAATACTACAAATTCAAATAAATTACACATCCTAAAAATGAAACGAGCAATTGCAAGTAAATAATATAAAAATTCTGGGGGGAAATTATTAAAAAAAGAAAAAGGCTATCTACTCAAAACGAGTATTTTGTGGTAAAACTGCTGAAAGAAAGATTATAAATAATGCAGACTATTTTTGAAAGCTGAAGGAGCGATCAAGCCAAAAATCAGAACTTTCTGTTACAACAGCAGGTCATTAACTATTGTTAATGATGAACATGAGAAAGTACTTGACAGAAAGCCAAGATAAATATGTTATGAATACACTTCTTTTCTATAAAGTACTTCACAGTGTGCCTTCTTCATTAAGTGTTGCCAGCTCCGTATTTTAGTGAAACAAAGATTGTCAGTCTACATGACAGACAAAATCAATCATTATTATTTAGAGACCATTTTTCAGCTGATTCACCACAAAAATGCATCTTTTATCTTAAAAGAATATTTTCAACATTTAGTTTCATAATAATTCATTCTTACTTCTAGCCACTGCAACACACAACCGTATCACAGAATGTCACAAGCAGCAGAATTATAAAATATACTACAGTACAAGCAAGTACATCTAGCCTCAGCAGTAATTTCTCTATAACTCACATACAATTCTAGTCAAGGGAGACTAAGACTAACAGTCTTCAAAACGTCATATCTAAGTTACGTAAGTAGAGAACTTTACAAATTTCATCCACATTTGTGGATATGTGGGCAATATTTACATCACAGAGATTTATATGAAAAATGAATTAACGTTTTAAGAGACACTATTCACAAAAAGAAAAGTATTCATCCTTCAACACAGAATGGAGTCTTCAGACAACATGTTCCTTTCACCTCTATGCAAGGGTATTGTATCCATACACAGATACCAAGAAATTTTTCCTCGTGTGGCAGATGCCTTGTAGAGACAAAGGGTCGTTTTAGTGGGACCCTAACTTGGCTACCTGGTACTGCAGTGATGTTACCTGCAGCCCCTTTCCCTTCACTTGTGTTGGAATGCTACTGCATCCAACCTAGGCTCCATGTTGAAGGGTTAACAAAAATTCTCCCAAAATTTGGAAAGGAATGAAGGAACAAAAATCAAAATTGTATCTGTACATTTTTAGCACCTTAACTTCAAAAGTTTTGTGTACTAAAAGAAATAAAATTGGAACCGTCTCTCAGCATTATGTGCTTTTAATATTTAAATGCACAAAATAATAGCAAAATAAAATAATTCTCAGATTGTCTCATCGAGGTTTAAGAGAAAAATTAATAACTTTGTAATGAAAACCTATTTGTCTAATGCACAATAATGTTTCACTTACAGTTATAACCTACACTATAAATTGACAAAACAAGAAGATGTTAAGATAAACATCAACACACAACATTGTTTGACTGAGAAAAGAAAATCCCAGTTGGAACTACCACCATGCATAATTTACATTTTGTAACACATGCTCTTAAAATGACACATCCAGTATAAACACTGGAACACATGTTTCAAGGATAGCGCTTGACAGAACATTTTGCTGCCTTGAATGTCAGTCTTCAATTGTCACTCTTTGCAAACCACTCAATATAAATCACAAACAAATATTACTGCTCAGCTGTGCTATAGTAACCACATGAATTTGAAATATTTATTTCAATTCATATAAACACTGCATCAAAAATTATGAACAAGAAACCTTATTTTATTCACAATTTTTTCCCATTAGATTTCACAGGAGCTATGATTTTTTTTAAAAAACAGCTCCGTAATTCTTATTGGCATCCCACCAATTTCTATTATTTTGCTTAATATACACTTTACAGAACTGAAAAAACTGGTAAAAAAGAAAACCTGTGTAGGTGTGTGTTTGCAAATACTTGTATAATTCAGTTTCTTCATGAAAGCAACATCAGTCACAAATGCACAATGCATATAACAATCACCCTCAATGCTTGCTATGGCCTAAAACAATCTGAAAATCTTGTTACGATTCTTATACCTATATATGCCCCAAAGCAGTACAAAACACGTGATATAACTATGGATAACAGAAACTTTCAAGTCTTGTATGTACCATTAAGCGTGTCTGCTTGTATTATGCTATGGATAAACCTGAGTTGAGCCTGTCTATGGACGAATGCCAGCATGGAAGTAAACAAAATGAATGGTGAGACTTCATTACTTATGCCTTCATTTATAAAGTAATCATCATTTCAACTTCAGACTATGGGTTAAACAAGTTTCTTATGTTAAATCCAGTAATTGCATTCCTCTAATTCTAGTTTCATCCAACATTCAACATGGATGTAGTGTATGTTCCACCCAGAGAAAGAAGTTAAAATCATGAGATGGACTGTATATACATGTTAAAAACATGTACAAACCAGAGGTAGGTAAGTAGACATTATTGTGTTGCATTGTGTTTCTGAAAACACTTAACTGTAGTAATAGCACCTGTGAACTATAGTGAATAACAAAATACAATAATAAGCCTGTACACCAATGTAGTCCATTAGGAAACCATGGACTTAAAATCTCTATACAGTATTGGGGAACAACTACCTTAAAAACTAAGGCACTCGAGGGGTCAGAATGACAAAGTCATTCTTAATATCACCCCCAAATGAAAATTGAAAACCTGCATTTTCATTGCAACTTTGGTTCTGTTGGGAAATGCAGGATTCCATCAGAAGGCATGTGTGTTATAAAAATTAATGTCAAATGTGTTCTCAGACCATGTCATTTTGTAAACTCCACTGGCACACTTCAGTGATATGAGGTTACCTGTATGCTGTGTAAAAACAAAAATAGTTTTATTGATATATGAACAAGGAATGTAGGAATTCCCTGCCTATTGCCCTGCATGAACTGTATTGAGGATTGAGTATTAGCTAAAGGCATAAAAAATAAATATTATATACATCTTATTCTGTATACCTGGCAATCATAACCATTATTGTATTCTGCATACCAAAAAAGTAAATTCTGCTCTTGGAAAACTACAATTACATCCTTGCAATCTGTAAATCATGTCCAGTAAACAATACTCACAAGAAATACCATCATTGCAATCAAAACTCTCATTTTAAATTAACAATCACAACACTTTTCCCATCATAAAATGTGAATCTATAATGAATGGTGTACAATACTCCTGTAGCACAGCACTGTTAGCATCACATACAAAGAACACATATTACTGGCAAAAATGAAACCATTATATACACTACAAAACAAATCAAAACTACATTGTTTCATAAGAACATATCACATCAATTAATTTTTATTACAGTGAAAATGTTCTTTTATGACTTGCCATAAAAAACTTCAATTATTGTTACAAGAATGCTTACTGCATCAACTGTGAATTATTGATCAAGAAGCATTAGAAAGAAGCCTTTGGTGGCTGCAACATTAATCCATCATTGAACATCAAATTTTAAGATGTAACATCAGTTTTGGGTTCATGTTCTACAGATGTATTATCAGAACCCTTCTCAGCATCATCAGATTGTGACTGTTGAGGATTTACATAAGAAACATTGTCTTCATTTTTAGTGAGTGACAACAAGTTCAAGAATGCAGGAGTACCATCTTGACTATTGCCACTACTTTGAGAATGATACTGAGCTGATCTATCACCACTAACATTACGAGCTGGCTGATTGGATACGTTGTATCTATTATCACTATTCGATGGTGGCAAGTAATTTCCTACATCTTGGTTTTTATTTGCATGAGAAGGTGGATACCTATCTTGATTTCGTAAATGAAATGGATTAACATCATAGCCAGCATGCAAATTGGTTCTATCTTCATTATGACCAATGATTTTGTTCTTTTGGAAGCCACTTCCACCAACATTACTACCTTTTAAAGGCTGGTAAGAACTACGAGTCTGAAAAAACTCAGCAACCAAATCTTGGGCAGAAGTGTCTTTAGGTTTAGCTGGAGACATGGAGTTTTGTACACCATTTCTATCATCGCCAGGTTGGGAAACTTTTCCAAGAGGCATTTGAGGAGAAGTGAAGAATTCACCCTTGCCAGCAGCAACACCTGCACCTGCTTTTGGAGTTGTACAAACTAACTCGTGAAAACTCATAAGATGTCGTTTTAGATAAAGCTTTGTCTTGAACGGTTTGCTGCACAGTGGACAAGACACCGTTTGTGGATTGTGGATGAGCCGCAGATGTTGGCGTAGATTCGATAGATTACTGTACATGCGGTAGCAGATGGGGCATGGCCTCGGATCCAGTGAGTGCAGTTTGCGTTGGTCCGCTGCAACAACACAACACAGAGTAAAGAACAAATACTTGTTGCATTATTGTCTTTCTCCGATTCAGATATATTGAGCATTGGCAAACTTAAAGGATGCAGTGGTTCAAGTTAGATGTTCTTCACTACTTTGTCACAAACTTGAATTCTTATGTTTGATCCTATTCAAAAATGTATTTTTTTAAATTTAATTTTATTGCAGACCAAATCACAAACTGCACATCGTGGATCCGCCATTGTATATTTCAAAACTTTTATTGAAATGCTCACCTTGTCCTGAATCCTGGGATGTATCACCCATATAGTTCTGGGCTGAAGGTCCTGGCAGTATGTCCATACCACCACCGCCACCACCTCCTGAAGAATGAGAATGAAGATGAGGCCAATACTAGTGCAATTTAGGAGGGAAAAGAAAGCTACTTATATCATTACAAAGCAAATAACTGTACGCAATTATAAGTAAATAAAGTAAAAAAGACATTTCAAAACAAGTTAATGAATGACATATCCACGGATTAACATCATTCCAACTGACAAGATCAATAACAATTATTTCAATAGATGTGATCATATCAGAATGTGGCACAATCATAAATGAAATTATTAAAATAACAGATACTGGAGTACTACTTACCCTGAAGACCTTGAAATGATGGAGTCATGTCAACTGAATTATCCATTCCTTGATACATTGCTGCTGTTGAATTGTTATCTGTTCTTCCCTCACCATCACTACAATAATCAGGAATCTCGACCTTTGGCTAAAAATAAAGAATAATAAATTAAATGTATAGACAACATTGAAAACTAAATGTACATTAAGAAAGATTAACAGAAAATAATAGTACCTTAATTAAGAAATATGAGCATCAAAAAAAGTAATGTCAAGTGACTGCCTGCACAAAAGGACGAAACATACCTCTACAATATCAAGAGTTTCATTCTTCACATTTTCAAATTGCTCCAAATGTGATCGATGGTGACTACTAACAGAGCCCGTATCATCTGATCGTTCTATATTGCTTGGTTTTTCAGCTGCCTGACAAGATCGTTTGGCAGGAGGAGGAGAGCATGGTGGACTCAGACTTAACATTTCTTCCTCCCCTTCTTGCTCCGCCTCCTCAGGAGATGGGGTTCTTGATCCTCCACCAGGGGAACCTGCACCCCATCTCGAGGAACCTGCCACTGAACCTGACCGTCCACTTCCAAATCCATCCATCTAAAAACGAAAATTGCAAAATCCTTTTAAAATAAGTTCTAACAATGATGTCAGTCAAAAAGCAATTAACTTAATGTATACAATGAAGTGTCAAAATTTAAAAACTTAAGACCTGTTTATGTCGTTGTGGAGCCTCTGTAAGGCCTCGGATTTGCAATGACTCAGCAGTCCGGAGAAATGCAGACAACTGAGCTTGAGCAATATTGACTTCGCCTGCATACATGAATTCAACAAGAGATTGCAAGTGATGGAATTCAACATCTCGCATAAAAAGGATTGGATGTTTGCATGGGTTACTCTGGAAAATTTTGAAAATGTGTCATTAAAAACATAATGTATGTGTACTTCTAAACATATTCCAACACTTTATTAGCACAATACAAGTTCAAATTCATTTTTAATATTATTAATGAAAATGTTTAATCTCCCAACCAAAATAAAATAAAAAATGCACCTTAAAAAGATCTTTGAAATATGGACTACATGCTGACAAAACCACTTTGTGAGCCTTCAGTCTCTTTCCTTCACACGCCAATGTCACATCCACAAAGTCTTCATCATCCCTAAGTGCTTCAAATTGTGATGTGATGTTTACTTGAAAGTTATTCCATCGAAGACAAAACTGCTGCTCCTCGGCCATTTCAGTCCGAAATAAAGTACCTAAATAACCATACAAAGTTCAATATATATGGCTGAAATGCCATTACCGAATAATAAAAATAAATTCAACATTGCAACAATATCATCGTTAACGACACTTATAACCTGCCAAAATCAAAAACAAAATCGGCTTGAAATGCATCGTTATCGGTAAATAATTTAAGTACCGCAAGCATATTTACCATCAAATGAAACGAACAAGGAGAAAAGACGCGAAACAAAATACGCAGCAGGATCGACGATTACGGCTAATGACACCGCCGATCCCAGTTGCAGTACATCGTCTCCTTACCTTACTCTTTATCTTGCAAGTTATCAAGAAACCACGCCTCAACTAGTTTTCATATCTGCCTATGTAATATATTCCACTCGTCACATGAGCTAGAGAACAAATATAACACTCAAAAATGCAAAAGCAAAGCATTAAAAATAAGTAAACTTAAGAAGAGATTTATGCTTTCCGTTATTATTGATGGACAGTTCTGTGCTGCTCTCTAGCCAACTCAACAACAAAACAAGACCCTCGGGTTCAGCATTCCCTTGTAATGACCACACGAAGGACATATTTTGACAGGGCCATTACTCCAAGAGCATTGGAATTCGAAATGTCAACTCAACATGATACAGTCTACGTAAAGAGAGCATCTGAAGTGTCCCTACTTTACATAGTCTCCAATAGATCTCGAAAGGAAATACACCCCATTCTTTCATTCATTCATGTTATGTGAACTTGTACATTTACAGGTATTGATATAATCGTTGATAGAGGCTAGCGTAATATTTAACGCATTTCCTAATCATGTCAGTACATGTAACGAATTAGTGATTTTATTTCCTTCAAAGTCATTTCGGAATGTCTGGGCAAAGTTAACTCGCAGACTGTCATTTGTTTCTGACGGCGGGAGGGATTACGTCATTGCCATCCTACAGTTGGTATTGGCTGAAGTATAGCACTTTACTCGTGTTCTATGTGCAGAAATTAAATGAGAAAATTTGGCGAATTGGGTTAAATATGTGACTATATCGGTATGTTAAGCCGCATGTTCCATTACCGTAATTGTTCAAGACTTGGTTATTTACGTTTGTGGTTCAGCTGATTTAATGTATTTTTTTTTATTTCGTGTGTGCGTGAGAGGGTGTACGTTGCCCCTCCAGTACAGTCAGCGTGCATCAATATGAGTGCCTTTCACGAACTGACAGATACATATCCTTCAGTATAAGATACCTGTAGTGACATTTTCATTTTCTCCATTCTTTAAATGTTAATGACGAATATATATTATTGTGTTATAAATATTCGTTATTTATTCAGTAAGTGTAATATATTAACATTTGAGATTCCCCTTTTTCCAGGATGTGTGATCCCCAGTATTTTTTCCTTATAGTTGAAAATTTGTGGATTTTTTGTTTTAAGGTTATCATTATGAATTCATAAAAGTAGCAATATTTCTGACTTGAGGTGAATATTAAAATAAATAATCAAGTTTTTTTTTTTCTTTCTCAGAATGTTCCAGTGTAGATGAGAGTTCTGTACTCTCACACAAATTCCTAACTGAGGATTAATTGATAAGGTAAGTGAATTTTCAACATTTTCTGCTAAATAAGTTTTATAAAATATTTTAGAATAATTTTGCAGATTTGTTTCTGAGGATCTATTATATGAGAGTACTAAAACGTTCTGCTGAAATGTGGATCGTGCGAGTGTGAGGAGGGATCGATTGAATGATATCTTTTAGATAAGATACTACTGTATGTGCTGGTGTCTTGTATCTATTGTCAGTGCATACAGCTGGAGAGGTGAACTGCGTGAGACTTTTGGTGTTTTATTCATTGACTGTAAAAAGAAGAAAAAATATATTTCTAATAGTCTAGTATTTTCTATCAATGATAAGCTATATTTCATTTTTTTGGGTGTAAATTGTCATATAATGTCAGTGAGTGATGCAAGTGGCAAGAATAGCATTGTCAGAAACCCGACGAACTGCTGGACGCTTATGGATTCATGTTAAGGATGTTGCTCAGTCAGGACAAGTTCAAGAGGAACGTAATTCAGGAAGGAAATGTGGAGTAGTGGCCCCACCTACAATTCATAGAAGACATAGGTATTCTTCAAATAAATTGGAACAACATGTAAGCTAATAATATTATATATAATTCTTTTTTTAGTATCAAATAATATTTGCCAAGAAATGTGTTTATTTTGAATTTGTGCTTTTCATTTCAACTGCTAAATTATTTGTGAACTTTTATATTTTCTAAAAATTGTTAAACTTAAGTCTTATGCCTAAATATTGAAACATTCCTTTAACCGCTACATAGCAGATACAGTCAGTTTGAAAAATATTTATTTTTTGAAACTAACCAGTGGGGCAAATCTTGGCATTTTACAAGTCGATGTGTGTTTAAAAAAAGTTAGTGGAATGGTTAAGAGACAAGGTGCGCGTGCGAAACTCATCACGCAATGCGGAAAGTGGTGTTGTTAAAGTAAATTACTAATACATCTCCAAGGCTGCTTCATCGTACATACGCACCGAAGACAGTCTCGGGGCCTGAAGTCAAATTCAACGAGACCAGTTGCATCATGCGGCACGTTCAATACTGTTAACGATAACGCATCAGTTCACTCGCTGCCAATGACGTTATCAAGTCTAGTTAAAAATCATTTGCGGGATGTGGCTGTCGATGTTTTCCTTATCTTTTGATATCTAAGAGTCTGTGCAATTGTACAAGTGGGCAAGATGCACGTGAGAAACGCATTGTTAGATTATGGTGTCGTTAATGTAAGTAATTTGTTGATTGCAGTTTTTTGACCCGATTGTTTGTAATTCGGTCTGCAGACGGGGATGTAGGCTGGAAAACAAAACGTTAACGAAACATTACATACCGAAAACAACTGTGCCGCAGGTTACCATTGTTCGGCATTCCGAATTTTTACAAAAAAAAGAAGAAAAAAAAGAGAGAGAAGAAGAATATTCGAAAGCGTGAAACGACGACCGTGTGTAATAATTATTTTGTATTTAAATAATAATTCGCTTATCGCTAATAACCTTTTAATAAATTAGTGTCTTGAGAAGTTTATTTAACGCCATCACCTCAAAGACCCCATACACTTAGCTTACTTCTCGTGAATTAAGGTGGAGAATGAAGAAATACACTTAAACCTTGACTGGTGAGAACACGAATTTAGAGTGGGACAAGGCAACTCTTGCCTAATAAACTGCATATTCCAGTGAATTTGTCTCCGAAAGTGTACAATAACAAAAGCTGTGTATTCTTACATTTTAATGTAAACGTATTTTTTGACACAATCATAGTTTGGTTCGGATTTAGAACAGAATATGTGCGATCGTAAGTAGCTTTGCCATTCTTCCACTTCAGGTGGTCGGGGGTTCAGCGTTGCGTCAAGTGAAATCGGGATGCCGTTCCTGTCTCCCTCAATGAACAACTATCTCTCTGTCTGGTTAGCCTTGCAAAGAAGCTCCAACGCAAACTGCGTGTTGCTGTTACTTTGCCTGTGGCACATTGCACGAAATTTCAGCTTGTCCACCACGCGTAATAGCGCAAAAAAACGGTTGACAGCGTAATCCCTGCTGGGGTCGCCCCTCCCCTTCCCACCCACGACATTTGGAGAGTTCTTGGGAAATTGTCTTTCCCGAGATACAGAGAGATTAATATAAGAAGGGACCGCTTTGACAGCTACTGACTGACCATTGCTGGCATCATAACTGCAGGTTATGTCAATGCACTCACTTTGTCAGTGCATTCGTTTATTGTTATATCATTTGTAAATGGCTTCATCACTAGCTCTTGCAATGCCATCGCCCTGCATGACATTCATTTGTTTCCCGACCGGTCAAAATGGGGCCTTTAAAGTTACTCTTCTATAGAATAGGAATGAGGTAGGTCCCGTTGCCCCGCCCCCTTTCGTCGCCTGTGCATTATGTGTATTGTGGTACCTTTCAAAGACTTTCGTGCATGCCTTATCTTGACATTATGACTGTGCAAAGAATTCGATTCGAATTCGTTGTTCAAGACGTTTATAACGGACCTGTTTAGTGAACTTCAGTAGTGGTTATACAACGCACAAATCGTTAACAGGGATTTCAAGAGACCGAAATAATAGGTGTTCATGTTACAAAATTACGTATTATGTGATCGTGGTATCTACAGGTATTATATCCGTATTACTAGATTTCCCTAAGAGGTCCCAGATATTGTTAGTGCCGCAGCGATTTTCGTGTTAAGCGAGTGCGTCTAAACGACTGTGTTCTGTATGTAATTTAAAGCATTTGTTTTGTTAATGTCAACTGTTAGAGACACATGTTACTTGAAGTTCTTCAGAATTTGGTTTGGTTGAAGATTAGTTTCATTGAATTGTTTTCATAAATGTTGCAATAATTGTATTAAGTCATTGATGAAGCAATAATTTTCATTAATTATTTTTCTCTCACACATTTTTATTTTTGTATTCTGGCATATTCATAATGTCTTGATGAATGGGTTGGTAAAGAAAACATATGCTAGAATAAGAAACGAATGATTGTAAGAATATTTATTTGAAATTCTAATATCGTAATGTGACATGTATTATCAAATGCATAGGTTACATTTACTCACTTGCAATCACGCCTCCTTTTGTGAAGTGAATGGTACTTGGTCTAATGATAACGAACACTCTTCTTGGACGATACAGGTTAAACTAGGCTGGAAAATGGATAGTGTGTGTGCCTCCGGATTGGAAGCCTTCTGAATAGGATTGCTTGGTTGTTTTGGAAAGTAACGTAATTTCCTATATCGCTAGGGGCTGTCTCTTTTCTCTGGTCTCATTTCGGATAGGGCTGATTCACTCCATCATTAATTGTTAGAACCACGTCATTTTTCTCCCTCGTACATTTGGATCTGTAGACTCATTCACGAAAATGCGCCGCCCCTCACCCCCACCCTCGGGATATATTCAGTTACTGGGGTCTCCCGAGAATAAAATCGTGCCCCCCCCACCACATACACACACATCACTACCAACAGAAAAAAAAGCCTTTAGAGTTGTTTGTTTTAGAATACTATCACAATAAATTCGGTCCTAGAACATTTCGATGTTGCCTGTACAGTTGCAAAAATTGTGTACTTAGATTATTTTTGATAGTTTTCGAATATTTTTAAATACAAAAGTTTTACTATAGGTGACAATATGATTAGGAATTATTTTAGACACAAATACATTGTTATTTTTTTCGGGTATTTTAAGACTTTTTCCGGGGCGCCGGCTCCCCCATGGATGTTGATCCCTCAGCAAATGCAGTTTTGTTTGTGACAGAATCCGGCCCTGCACGCACACTTGCTTAATCAAATTTCCGCTCTTACGTTCGTATGTAGCCACGTCTCAAAGCCACGAGTCCGTCCTACACCACGGCGCCGTAGCAAGGAGGAGGTAGTCGACCTCGAGTTCATTTTCAGCCGGGGCAGTGATCGCAAGTGTTTGTCATTTTCTACATTATGTTAAAATATTTCGCGTTTTCTTATTTGAAACCGCATGCGAACGGAATGCATAGTGTGGTAAAGGTCTATGTAGAAGGGAATGTTGTGAAATATGCTCAAAATTTTCACTATGGAGGTTAAATTTGCAATGCGGTCTATTATGTATTTGAATCGTTTATTTCAGAAAAACTGCCAAACCCCAAATTCATTTCGAGAAAACTGAGAAAAAAGTATCCCAATTTTTCAGATTTCAAAATATATGTATTTATTAAAGCAGTTGAATGAATATTTTTCTTATAAATATGCACCAAACTATTCTTTTGGAACAATAATCCGTCGCCAATGCGTGTTTCCGATTTTGGCATTTGCCGGGTTTCTGAAATGAACTATTCATTTCCAGTCTCTGATTGTTATAGTCACATTCATTAAAGCAATCCGCTTCTGTATTTCAAATATTCATCACACATTCTCTAGTTATTGCTGCGTGTACATAATCAATGATGAAAATTAGTTCTGCTAAAATACCCCGGATTAGTATTCTTAAGATGACACTCGATTTCAGTGTATGGGTCTGGTCGTTTGGTAAAGATACCACAATTCACTTGTAAATGAGAAAATGTGACAATCGAATAATTATATGCGTCATTGCCAACAATATTTAAATTTGGGTGTAACTTTCTTGCGTAAGTATTCGGATACGAACCAGATGTTTAGATCGTACTTTCAAAATTTCAGTGATAACTTGTACAAAATGTTCACCAATTGAGCTTGACTAGCTTTAGAATATAGGTGTTGTGGTGAGTTATCGTTGGCATTTTTAATTGTTGGCAATGACGACGCATATAATTATTTCATTAGAAATGCCAACGATAACTCACCACAACACCTATATGTGATACACGAACCCAGACTCCTTCCGTTTGTGTGACTTCGGAATAGAAGCATTCCTTGGGCGCGATACGGTAAACCTGGAGCCGACCCCTCGGCAACTGGTTGCGTGCCTCGGCGCACGCGCTCGCCCCCGCCCCAGTTCGCGTGCTCGCGTCGCGTCGCCGCCGAAGCGCCGAAAGTGCAGCCTGGCCGACCTGCCACGCCACGCCACGCCCCCCTTCGACCACCCGCGCCGCCTCACCTTCCCTTGCTGTGCACCGCTCGCTCCAGGGCTGTTCGCTACTCTTGCGTTCGGCCGCGATTTAGTCCGCTCTTACGAAGCACGCTCTTTGTAGCGGCGGCGGCGGCACGTGCCGCCACCACCACAAGACCTGTGACAACAAATCGCCCTACTACGACAAGGCTCATTATGACGGCAACTGGTAGGCGCGTTGCTTGGCTAAGGAAGTGTGTTTTAATAAGGTTCAGGAGCGCCCTAAAATGCAACTCCTGGGAACCGATAGATATTGTTACCGAACTGATGTATTTGTTACAGAATATGTAACCAGCTATAACGTAAATCTAACTTTTATTTTCATGATTTGTCGTGCTTTGTCCTAAGAAACGGCCACACAAAACTCTTATGCATTTCCCCGATTATTAGCATTTCCCCGTTCGTTCCGTCTTCAACGCGCTCCGTTTTAAACATTTTGCGTTGCAGTCTCGTTCTCAATGGTCACGGCAGTGGACATTTCCTGGCGCCGTCTGTACTTCCCGCAGACCTGCCGTTACCTCGACCATCGCCACATCTGTCAACCTCTCTTCCTTCTCCTCCTCCTGCACCCCTCCCCTACGCGCGTAGCTACCGTGTCTCTTGGCCATCGCTTCCCCGGCGGCGTCCGTTTCCTCCCTCGGTCTCCGCGGCGCGCCGCCCGCGGTCACGAGGTGCCTCAGCCGCGCCGTTCTATATCTGCCGCTCGCCTCAATGAAAGCGAGGCGGCCCGCCCACCGGCCGCGCGGCCCCCGCGGAGGGCGGCGCCGGCTGTTTGTTGTTTGTGCGCCGCGGTTGGCGGCGACAGGCGTGCTCTGCTTTTGCAAACCAGGGGCCCGCAAGGGCCGCAGCGCGGGCGGGCCCGGGTTTCGGGGATATTTTTATTATTGAAGGTAGTAACACTACTTGTGTTGGCGTTACACTTGCGGGCAGGTCCGTTTTTTGGGGATGTTTTTATTATTGAAGGTAGTAACACTTATTGCTTGGCGTTACACTTGCGGGCGGGTCCGCTTTTTGGGATATTTTTTTATTATTGAAGGTAGTAACACTACTTGTGTTGGCGTTAACGCTTCGGGCGGGCCGGTTTTTGGGGATGTTTTTATTATTGAGGTAGTAAACTACTTGCGTTGGCGTTACACTTGCGGCGGTCCGTTTTTAGGGGATATTTTTATTATTGGGTAGTAGACACTATTTGTGTTGGCGTTAACACTTGCGGGCGGGTCCGTGTTTTTAGGGATATTTTTATTATTGAAGGTAGTAACACTATTGTGTTGGTTACACTTGCGGCGGGTCCGTTTTAGGGGATATTTTTTATTATTGAAGTAGTAACACTACTTGTGTTGGCGTTACACTTGCGGGGGTCCGTTTGTTTAGGGGATAATTTTTATTATGTGAAGGTAGTAACACTATCTTGTGTTTCGCGGTTACACTTGCGGGCAGGTGCCGTTTTTTGGGGGATGTTTTTATTTATTGAAGGTAGTAAACTACTGCGTTGGGCGTTACACTTGCGGGCGGGTCCGTTTTTAGGGATATTTTTTTATTATTGAAGGTAGTAAACTACTTGTGTTGGCGTTACACTTACGGGCGGGTCGTTTTTTGGGATGTTTTATATTGAAGGTAGTAACACTACTTGCGTTGGCGTTACTTGCGGGCGGGTCCGTTTTTTAGGGAATATTTTTATTATTGAAGGTAGTAACACTACTTGTGTTGGCGTTACACTTGGCGGGTCCGTTTTTAGGGGATTTTTTATTATTGAAGGTAGTAACACTACTTGCTGTTGGCGTTACACTTGCTGGGCGGTCTCGTTTTTTAGGGGATATTTTTATTATTGAAGGTAGTAACACTACTTGTGTTGGCGTTACTCTTGCGGGCGGGCCCGTACTCGTTTCGTTTCGCTACTGTCGCGAACTCGTGATGGGCGAAAGGTGTTGGAATTGGAGGTCGTAATGTGTAGCCGCAACTTGTTCCAGTTATTAGAACAATTCAAAATATTTTTTTTATTAATGATGTCATGTACAAGCAGACACTTTTGCTCATCACGTCTCTTTAGTTTCAATTCATATTATTCGTTTCGTTAAAGTGATAGGAGGTTCATACTGTTGCCTGTTCTTACTTGGTCAATTCCCTTAAAAATTCTTTAATATTAAGAGACATTATACGTCATTCAGATGTTTTTGTCGTAATCTTATCTGTAACCACGCGCGCCTCGGGCACTTACTTATTTTAAGGGGGAATCAAGCATTAGTATTTAAATTTTAATGCCTCCGCGGAAGTATAGTTCAAGCCACGACGACTCATTTACTGAAGTTAACGAGTTGCACACCGTAGTTTAAAAAGGGGATTCATTAATTCAGTAACATACTCTGACCATAAACTTAAAAATCGACGGCAGCTGTGGCAAGACCAACCTCTCCTTCGTTACCCGCCAGTTCGGGAGCTTCTCATTATTCTTTTCCCACACATGTGACTAATAAAGGTCATCAAAACGTTGACCACAATCAAAACGCTTTCGAGGTATAGCTAGTGAATATTTCGGTTCAAGTAGGATCTATAAAACCGACGACAACCACGATACCTCAATGGAATCATAAATTGCATTATTTTTAATCTCACACTGTAGGGATATCAGAAGCCAAAACGTATAGTATCACAAATATTACACTTATCACCGCCAAGCTATTGATGCTTTTTCATTCTTAACGCCCGACCCTTCATGTGTCGCTTGTAACCATTCGTTGACTTACTTTCTCTGTTCTAAGCACTTACGAAACCTCATTCCTCACTTTTTCTGTTATCGACTGTACGAGATACAATTGTCCTTTGTTTCATACGTCATTCAGGGATATTCACGATGAATTAAGAGCTTAGTGCCTGACGTTTGGCATTATACGCACAAGTTTGCTTGAGCCCCGGACCTTTACCAACGTTAATTGAATTAAGAATAAAAGATAGCATCGAGCGTTGTTGACCAAATGTAACAGTTAAAATGTTCGCTCCCATGTAATAGAAACGAGTGTGCATCGAAAACGAGCTACAGTTTTGAGTCAAAAGTCCTCCTGTCCAAATAAACAACCCTCCACCCCTCTCGCATCTATCGAAATGACGGCGCGAGAAAACGTGCGCGGATAATACGGCTCCTCTGGTCCTCCGACTCCCTACAGAGGAAGTTCAGGGCTAATCTGAAAGCTTGGTGAGCGAGTCAGTCTTTTGATCACCCCTCCCAACGACTTGTGTATGTGTGTGGGGGGGTGGGGAGGATCCACCAACGTTCGCAACCGATTATGAAGTTCCCCAGATCATCTAGAAAAATTGAAGTCCTATTTGTAAGCTTGGGAAATTTTAATTTCTTCTCAGAATTTTCCCCATGGCTGGCTTTTTACTCAGTTTGATCATAAGTAAGCAAGTGTGTGTTGAACGCATGGGGGAACCCATGTTTGGTCGTCTCAGCAGAAAGAACTAAAAACCATGCTTGCAGAATCCGCATGTGGGTGTACGTGCATATCACCTCGTCTGCTGCTTCATTAGCATTATCTGCGTGGGTCGGTTTGCACTGAACTCTCTGCAGACTTAGCACCGGACGCGTCAAGGTTGGGGACTACAACCTCACAGATCGCGCGTCATTCCCGGTAGATTGTAGACGTTGGTTATTATTGTGTGCGTGTTAAACATAATGAAGTCTGATAAATCAGTGTAATTTAGTGGCTGCTTACGAATGCTCTGAGATTCGATACAATGTTTAGTTATACATTTCGTGTTTGTGATGATTAGAATGATTTGCTGTATGCAAGTATACTGCCAGAAATTGATGAAAAGATAATTCGCCAGTGTGCTGTGTTCCAGATAATTGACATTGCATTGATTCCTTGGAGATTTCAACGTAGTGTTCGGTGTTTAGTTGTCTTCTATTGGCCATTCAATGGTATTGGGGTATTTTCTGTTGTTGATGACAGAACCTTCTTTAAATACTGCTTTGATTGTAATGTTTTTACGCATTTCAGATAATAGCGTGAAAATGCGATTTTGAGGCTGCATCTAACTCAAGATTAAGTTCAAAATATTCTTAGGGTATTTTATTTTCCATTGTATTGAAATGAAGTTGCACAATTCCATATTACATACTGTAAAAATTCAACATACTACTTAATTGATTATCTATATAGTGATCATACCTATAGTAGGGGATAATATTAAATAAGAAATATGGATAATATATTATGAACAAAGTTATCTTTTGTATTTTAAGTGTATTTAATATATCATTGTGTGTCGACTGTGATTGTATTTAATAGTACAAGAACAAATAGTAATAAAAAAATGCCTCCCGTTCTGTGAACGGATCAATACTCAGCCATGCCCTCCGATTTGGGCACTCGTGTAGATCTGCCATGTTCTTCCAAAACCTATCCTTTTTTTTTACCACTCTTAATCCAGCATCTTCCCAAGGGGCTTGACTTTCGGACAGGTTGATAATATTTACTCGCGTTTTTTATCTTGTAGACTTTTTTCTATCAGTCACGGGAAAAGATCGTAATGCATTCAGATAGATTTTTTTAAAAGTATGTCATAATTTATGACTTTTAAAAAATATAATTGGATAATTGGCAGAAGAAATTGTTATATGAATCGTAGGCAATGTTCTCTATGTCACTCCCATTTGTTCTGGACTTTTGAAAAAGAACATCAAATTATTTAAATATTTTAACACATTCCGATTTAAAACTAACGTTTTACATGTTTCACCTAAAATAGAAAATGACTCAGTTGAATTTCCTGGTCTTCCTCCCGAGGACTTCGAACTGTGTGGCAAAAGACGCTAAACGCCTCTCGTGCAACCCCTTCTCATAATCTCCAATTCTGAGGCTTCACCCCTGCGACAGTGTGTTTGAAATCTTTTCACTGTTCAAAGGCGCCCTTATCTGTTTGCAGAGTGATATTTGTTGCAGTAAGGAATCCCTTTGTGGAGGATGCTGGCAAGTTCCGGCTTTGTCAGGCGACAGTAGCTTTGCTATCCACATGGCAGAGAACACGCGGTCGCGCGACTAGCGAATTAAAACAGTCTGTTTCGTTTGCGCCGTTGTGTTCGCATGTGCCGGGTTTGGACTCGAAGCGGGCGTATTTGCGTGGCGCTAAATGTTTTTGCTATTAGAGTAGCACAAGA